AGCAGTTATCTCTTATTTATTAGAAGTCTTGGTTGTAATCAATTGGATAATATGATTTGATCCATCTTGAAGAGATCCCGATGCTTAATTCATTATATCTTGATATAACCCGATCAAATGTTCTGACAACTGATCTTGTGATCCCTTTTGAAGTTGCTCGGTTGTTTACATTTATTTGTTCATGATGATGATACGGTAATATGAATGAATGATCTCGGTTTTACTATTACAAAACCTTTCATGAATTATTTACACAATTTTATAACTAATGCATGTAACAATACTTAAATAAATAAATGTGATGCATATGCGAAAATGCAAAAATGGGAATGCGAACTATGCAATGCAAATGTATGTATGCAAAAGGTATCATTCAAGAGTGATCATCTTAAAGAAACTTTCATTGAACACAAAAGATTTCAGTACATCTAAAATAACTTTACAGATAAGGAATAACTTTCACTCCTAATTTCTCTATTTCCTTCAAAAGCCAAATTAGCTTCCACTCATACTCAGGTGTTGAGTTATCAATCTTCTTTAATTCTCTCTTAAAACTAGCTAAATCAATCAATTTATGAGCCACATTGCTTACCTGCGTAGCGAATTCCTTTATGACATTATATTTTTCCTGCATCTTACATGTTAATTCTTGGATTTGTAGACAATATTGTTCATTTTTCCTTGTAAGAGAGCCTTTATGGTCAATAAGTTCTTGTATAAGATCTTCATAATCATCTAAAAATTTCATCAATGTCTTGTTTCTAGCCCTAGTGCCTTCTAGTTCAATATCATTCTCATGCTTATGGCGATGATACGAGGCTTCCACATTGGCTATAGATATATTCAACATCTAGTTTTTGGCTTGACATCTTTCCAAATTGATGACGGTTGTATTGCACCATTCTTTTGCAATCCGTAAATCATGAGAAAATTTTTTGGCTCGATCTTTGTGTGTCTTGCAATTTTTTTCAGTTTAGTGACCCATATTATTCATTTCTTTGGGTATTTCCTAAACCAACTTTTTAAAAGGCTTGACTGATCTTTTGGAAATCCTCACGTATGGTTTCCATATATGCACCCAGTCTATCATTTTCAATTTTCAAATGAAGTATTTGAGCCTCATACTTCAATAAATATTCTTCCTTCCTCATGCCCCCACTGATACTCTTACCTTTGAATATTTTTGGTATCAATCGGATAGGATAATCAATGACCAAACTAGGTCGATTCTTTACCTCGAACTCTAAAATTCCATATTCCAAAAGATGTTGGACTCGATGCTTGAAAGTGGTGCAGTTTTCAATGGAATGTCCTTGAATTTCGGCATGATATTCATAACGAACATTAATATCATACAAATTTGGATAAGGAGGTTTCCATGGTTTCACATAATACAGAGCCACCTTTCAAGCTTCTAGTAGTTTCTCGTACAAATCCTTATATGATATAGGGATATCATCAAAATGAGAACTTCATTTCGTCTTGGATTAATCTTGATTTTCTGACGTTGGAAAAAGATTCTTAAATACCGACGAGTTCTGATTGCATGACTTCTTTTTAGCTCTTAAAATTTCTACAGTTTTCACTATTTCTTTGACATTTCCAGATAAGCTGTTGATACGAATAGTGCATGCGTATAATTTTTCAGATTGATTAGGATCAGTAGTCCCTTGTATATCTGATATCGCAAGATTATCTTTATCGAGTTCTTTTTCTTTTTGTGTAGAAGTCTCTTTTCCTTTGGCCAAAACAGATATTCTATCCATCAACTTGGACATTTACTCTCTTATCTCTCGTATCTCCTTTTTCTATTCATCGAACATACGATCTTTGGGTGCATAGGTCTCCATTATCCTCGGAGTTTCCTCATGATGACATTCCCTAGCTGTGTTATAGTTTACTTGATCATGAAACCCTTTGTCCATTATGAAAACCTTTTACTTTGATGACCACTCTCAAATCAACACTTTTTGATTATGTCATGATCATGCAATGCAAGCAAAAAAGAAATAAACATTAAAAAAAGTTAGTAGAAATAATAAAATAATGTAATGTAAATGCAAAATAGACAGATAAAAACAAGACAAAAAGAATGGTTAGTATTAATTAATTGAAAGGAAAAAAAATCCTACCTATAACATGGTATCTACCCTAACATGCTATTACTATTACTAAATAACAATCCTATCTGTAGCTGTTTTAATACCTTCATGCTATGTTATTTACAAGAAAACAATCCTAACCGCATGATATCCAGTTTGCATGAAAAATGAACCTAACCACATACTTTTCTAGTTCTCATGCTTTTTGCAAAATAAATAGATTCAAGGAAAAGGTTAGAATGAGTTTCCCTTACAAACAGTATAAAACGGGTAAAAATTTGGTGCTACTAACATGGTACTCAAATTGTCCTTTGTTGGTGCTCGCTTGAGCTTGACAAACCCTCAATCCTCACCCATTATAGGCTTAAAAAATTGAGTTCAATTCGAGAGGATTCATTTTCCCATGTCCATGCGAGGAAACTCGATGTTTCACTCATAAACATGATGCATATGTATCCTAGAGGTTACTTTCTAAAGTCCATGCGGAGAAAAATAATTTTTCTCACGTAAGCGTAGTATTCACCCCTACCTAAAGGGACAGAGCACAACTAGAAGGCTCTTGATATCAAACATCTATAGTGTGTGAGGGGAAACTTACAATCATTTACTTCAATGTCAGGACAATCAACCTAAAACACTGTTAGAAATCTGAAACACAAAAACTAATCAAATTAGTATAACTAAACAATAATCAAAATTTAAATATCATTCATATTTGCCATATTTAACTAACAATATGACTTATAATCAATTATAGCTTAACTCTCTAAAAAAAAAGGTCATCATCGGAGTCGCCAAGCTGTCAAAATGGTCCCCGTTGGGCTTTTTAAGGCTTTTTCTGGGAATCGATCCGACTTAATATTGGGAACATGTCGGATTTTAAAATAGACAAATTTAGAGTCGCCATCGACTTTTGGGTTAGGTAAGTCGAATACCTAAAAATATATTTTAATATAATTTAAAGAAAAAAAATTAAAAGATAAAAAATTGATTTGCGATTGACTAGAGATTTACTTTGGAAAGGGTTCAAAAGTCGGTTACAAGTGGGGAAGGATTAGCACCCCACAACGCTCAAAATTAATACTTATTATTATTATACGTCATCTTTAGTTATTAAAATTGGCAAATTCAAGTAATATTTAAATTATGATAAAATAGGAAAATAAGATATAATACGAATATCTTTAAAAGTACACTCCTAGCAAGTTAAGGAGATATTTTTATGAATTACTCGAATAAAATAACATTAAAAACATTATAATTAACAAAAATTGATAAATGTATATAAAATAAATTATTAAAATAATAAATAGGTTAAATTTAGTAATCAAATTATAAAACTACAAAAGTTTAAAGTTACCTATGTAAATAATTAATATATTAGGTACTATAATTATAAATAAACCAAAAATAATATTAAAAATTAAAAATATTAAATATTAAATATTAAATATTAAATTAGAGGATAAAATTATAAAATAATAAAACTTATAGCCATAAATGAAAATATCACAAAATCTATGTACTACAAATAATTTAACCTTTATTACTACTTGGGGTTAAAATGAAAGCTATTAAAATTAAAAGGACTAAATTGAATATTTTACCTAAAATATATACATCCTAGTTAGTGACTAAAATATAACTAAAATAAAATTTGAAAACCAAATTGAAATGCACAGAAATTGATTTCCAATGACCAAATTCTAAGGCTTACAAAGTACATGGACCACAAACTAGGTTTACCCATGCCCAAAATACACAGATACCCCTTCCCCAAAATGATATCGTTTGTGGAAGGATATAAATACCCCCAATCGGCCATTCTCCTTCATTTTTTCCTTTCCTATCTCTCTAAGTAAGAGAAATAAAATTTCTCCCTTCCCTCTCTCCAGAACCCTCTACCAGAGGGATAACTATCCACCATCGACCGCCGTGCTCCGACACCGACAACCACCCCGGTGGCCAGAATTCAGAAAATTACCCCGAATCAAAGCCCTTTTTTCCCCTGAACCTAGATCCACTTTCATTTTGTTCTAAAAGTCCCCCAAGCTCCCCAGATCTAAGAATATACATTCGAACAGACGACGGTTTCCGGTGACGCGTGAAGGCTCTGACGAGTGTGGGTAAGCTTCTCAGTCTCTTCTCTTTATTTTTCTATTGGTTGGTTGTCTTCATGTTGTTTCATGGTCGTGTTTTTTGTTCTTCATATCTCTCTTAGCCTTGCTCTTTGTTCGTGTCTGTGTCATTATCGTTCCTTTCTTCTTCGTTGTCCCCTTTTCTTCTCTTACAGGTAAGGGTTTATATAGCCCTTAGAGTGCCGTTCATAATGATGAACCCTTCAGTGAGTCACCGAAACTATGGTGGTGACTCACTCTAGGGATGATGATGTGTGCGATTATCTTGTTGGATGCATTAAATGCACCAAGATCTTCTGGATTCGTCTGGTGAGGCGGTGGTGGCGTGACAACTGCTGACTGGAGCACTTGGAGGCGGCGATGGTGAGCTCATCATCAACCTAAGGTGGCGACCGGAATAGCCCTAGGGTTGTAATGAAACCCTAGGGTTTCTATTGGCGAATCTGGCTCAGTCATCTCCATCTTGATCAAACGGTGGTGATGAGGAGGCGGCTGAAGATGTGTGTGAAAAAACCCTAGAAGAGTTCGGGCCTGTTGGGTCGTCTGTAATCTGGGCCTAGATCAGGTTGGACTTCTCGGGTCTGGACCTCCAGTTTGTCTTCTCGAGTCTGGACCTTCGGGTTCTTGTAAATGGGCCTTCATATTTGCTTTGTAACTGGGGCTCCAGATTTGTCTTCAATTGGGCCCCGGTTTATTGTATTGGGCTTGTAACAATAATATAATTATTTAATAATAATAATAATAGTAAATAGGACAAAAACTAGTGTCTACAACTGTCATTATCGTCGTTGTCATTACCGCTGTCATGGTTGTCGCCATTATCACCGTTGATGTCATTGTCATTATCGTCGTTGTTGCAGTCATTATCTTCATCTCCCTTGTCATCGTTGTCATTGCCATCGTCGTCATTGTTGTTGCCAATATTACAGTCATCTTCATCGTCGGCATCCTCGTTACCACAGTCATCGCCATTACTGTCGTTGGTGTTGTCACCATCGTCGTAGCTGTCATCGTTGTTGCAGTCACCATCATTACAGTCGCTATGGTTACCACTATCGCTGTCATTACAAAGGTTGTCATCGTCGTTGTTGCAGTCATCATCATCATCGTCGTTGTTACAGACTTTGTCGTATTCGTTGTCACCGTCACCGTCATCGTCATCGTCATTGTCGTCTCTATCACCATATGTGTCGTCTTTTTCGTCTCTACTACCATCGTTACCATAGTCATCATCGCCTCCATTGGCGTTGTTATCGTCGCCTTCAAAGATGTCGTAGCCATCGTCATCTTTTTCATCGCTGTTGTTGTTACTGTCACTATCGTCTCCATCATTGTCGTCATTACAGTCATCATCGTCGTCGTTATCTTTGTTGTCATCGCCTTCATCGACGTCGTAGCCATCATCGCCATTGTCACCATCCTTGTCGTCGATGTTATTGTTGTCATCACTATCGTCTCCATCATTGTTGTCATTGTCGTCATCATCGTCGTCGTCATCGCCATCACCATCTTCATAATCCCATCCATCGTTATTGTCATCGTCGTAGTGGTCGTTGTTGTTACAGTCATCGTCATCGTTGCAATCGCAACTGTCGTCATTGTTGCAGTATTTGTCGTTGTAGTAATCTTCGTCATTGTTGTCATTGTCGTCATCGTCGCCATCTTCGTCGTTTTTATCACCATCGTTGTCGTCGTCATCGCCGTTGTTTCCATCACTGTCATCTCTGTCGTCATCGTCGCCACCATCACTTTCGTTGTATTCGTCATCACCGTTGTTACCTTCGTCATCATCGTCATTGTTGTTGTCGCTACCATTATCGTTGTTACCGTCATTATCTTTACTGTCGTAACCACCGTCGCCATTGATGTCATCGTTGCTACTATCGCCGCCCTATTGTTGTCGTTGTCATTATTGATGTCACTATCGTTGTCGTTGTTATCGTCGTCGTCATTACCATCATTTTCGTTGTCTCCATCGTCATTGTTGTCATTGTCGTCACTGTTATTTTCTCTTTTTATCGTCCTCATCGTTGTCGTTACTGTTATCACTGTCATTGTTGTTATTATCGTCGTTTTCGTCACTGCCACAACAACAAGAACATCGACAACATCAACAACAGCGACAACATCAACAACATCAACAACAACAACAACAACGAAAAAAAATAGCAATGGCAGCAAAAACAACAACAGCAACGGTAACAAAAACAACAACAACAACGGTAACAAAAACAACAACGGCATGGATACATTTATTATTTTGAATTTAAAATACAATCATTTTAATATAATTTAAAAAAAATCATTTTAATACAATGTTATTCCCAGGTCTTATATTTTGTATCTCATATTGATCAAATATATAATTTTAGGAGATAAATCTGATCACATGTAAAATTATATAAAATGAGGAAAATGATAAAATTATCAATAAAATGTTATTGATAGATTGGACAAAATTTTTTTGGTAAGTGTAAAAATAGCGATGAATTAAGAAATATTTTTAAGGATGAACACATATATTAACAATACAAAATCTTTTGTATGAAGTGGGCATAAATAAATTTTTAGGGTGAGCACAATCAATAAAATAAATAACTAATCGAACAAAACTTGAAGGATAGAAATGTGTCCATCCTAAATAAAGTATGCATTCGTCATTGTATAAAACAGTGAAATAAATAAGAATAAAAAAGTACAAATATTATTGTTTGTTGATTTTTATAATAAAATATTTTGAATGAGATAATTTTATAAATCAAAATGATTAAATTTAGTGGACTGAGTAACTATTATTATTGTTGAAAAGGGTTGAAACGATGATAATTATTATCGATTAATATTACATATTAAACACCTATTTTTAATTATGTTTTTAAAAATTAAATCGATTAGTTGTATTTTACAGGGAGTCGAAATTGCAAAACAAATTGGCCGGAAGCATTTCATGGAACATATAATATTAATCGAACCAATCCGGAAGCATTCCACATACAGACACATTCACAAAAGTTCACTCCTTTTGTACTCAATTCACTAGTTCTACTAACCATATCCTCCACCCTCCTGATATCTCAAACCAATCCGGCCCGCCACAGTGGGGTCTCGAAAGGGAAATACGCAGTCGGATTCGTGTGCACCATCGGTGCATCCGCTTTGTATGGATTGACGCTTTCTCTAACACAGCTCTCCTTCAAGAAGCTCCTAAAAGGAGCACGTGTTGAAAATTGTTATGTATTAGTCACTGGTTGTCACTTTCGCCGCCGTTGTGGGACTTTTTACCGTCGAAAAATGGAGAGGTTTGTCGATGGAGATGGCGGAGTTCGGACTCAGTAAGTTCTCGAACTTGCGTACCCTGATCGAGACGGTTATAGCTTCACAGTTTTTGATTGTGGGCACAACGGGATTGATTTTGGAAGTGTCTTCGCTCTTCTCCAATGCCATAAGTGTGTTGCAGTTATTCTAATTATGACTGTGTTGTTTTTCCATGACAAAATGGATGCAGTGAAGGTGATTCCCATGGTATTGGCGATATGGGGCTTTGTTTCATATGTCTACCAGTGTTATCTTGATAATAATAGTTACAAGAGTGAATATCTACGTGCAAGTGAAGTTTCCAAGAGTCCTTTACTAGAACGGGTGTGTTTGGTTGGGGGAATGTGAGATTCCCATGGGAATGGAATCTACATTCCCCCGTTTGGTTGGTCGGGAATGTCATTCCGGTAATCTTATATTACCAATAGTGGATTTTTTGGGTATATTATCGGGAATGTCATATATCTCTTTCCTTAGGCATTATTGGATTACTGACATTTTGGACTAAAATGTCCTTAAAATTATTATTTTTTCAAAAAATATCATTATTCTGTCATTGAATAATAAAAATTCTACGAAGGTTAAATTACAAATTTATCCTTAAACTATTTTAGATTTACAAAAAAAAGTCTATAATTAAAATTTTATATGAAGTTCATGGGTTAAAATAAAATTTTACTCTTTCATTAAACCTTTTTATATTTTCAATTTTGTAAAAAAAATTATATAAATTTTATGAATTTATTTTTTTTAAAGAAAATATATAAATATTTTCCAACTTGTTAAAAAAACAAATATATAATAAGGACAATTTGGTCAAATATACATTTCAATAATCTTTTATTCCTTTAACCAAACACAGTAATCTTACATTCCAGCTAAATCAACCAAATACAAAATACAACATTCCCAGTAATCCTATTCCCTGGTAATCTTTTATTCCCACTGGTAATCTTATATTCCGTGAACCAAACGCACCCGAAGAGATTAGTTAACAGAGAATGGGCTTCTATGGCACTACCCTAGGATGCGAACCCATCCACGAAAATTTCAAATTGTCGTATAATTTAAATATCTTTTATATTTTATATTGATAATTTAAATTTACATTCCTTAAAATTTTATGATTTTGTACTTTTAAAATTTTAATGTATATTTCTAAGTTCGTAGTCTCTAACATAAAACTGTGCATCCAATATTGTTTGAGTTTGTCATTTTTTCATCCAACCATCCTAAAAACATGTAAAACTATATGAGTTTTACACTGTGTAAGTGAATTCTAACTCATATATATGTGTATATGAGTTAGAATCCACTTACATAATGTAAAACTGTTTAAAATATTTTGATATTTCGATATAACAAATTAAGATAAATGAATTTTAAGATTTTCCAAAAAGATTTTCTAAGTATATTCGATATAATTATTCGAATATCAAAATATTACTCCAAATCTTTGAAATGTCATTTTTAATCCTTACTCAAGTGTAAAATTAAGTTTTAAACTTAAAATAATTTCAAAACAATTTTACAAAATATTTCGAACCATTTCAAAGCCAAAAATTCCAGATTGCTCAGAGGGAATCAATTCCCCCTGAATGGTTTGGCTCCGAGAAAAACAGAATGCTCGGAGGGAACCAATTACCCTAAGGGGTATCGATTCCCCTCTGTTCAACGGTTGAAATATTTGAATTTTACACTTAGGGAATCGATTCCCTATGAGGGGGTACCGATTCCCCCCACGCTCCTAGCAGAAATATTAATTGTTTTCACACTTAAACAGCTCCAATAACTTCATTAATGATCCCCAACGTTCAGAAATGATTCAAGGTGTATTTAAACAAGCTTAGAAGCCATTGATCAACAACAAGAAACAACAATTATCAAGAATTGAGAGAGAATCAAAGAGAAAGCATCAAACTCATTGTTTGAGCACTTCAAGCCTATTTTTCATTCAATATTCATTGTTCTTTCAAGAACACCATTTGTGCTATATTGTATTTATCCTTGAGTGTTCTTTCTTTGTTCTAGAATTGTGCAAACAATCTACCTTGTAAGTTTGCAAATTTGTGTATTTCTCTTTGAAAAAGAGTGTGCTCAAGAATTTAGGGTATAATTCTTGAGGGAGTTGTAAGGTTACTCTTTGACCTCAAAATAAAGAACAAATTAGTGAATTTGTTGGAAAATCCTTAGTGTGGATAGCTAAGGTAGTGGACGTAGACTTTGGTTGAGAATGTCGAACCACTCTAAATCGTTGTGCAAATATTTTCAATTTTCTACAAAAGCTTCCACCAAAATTTTATTGCCAAATCACCCCCTCTTGGCCAATTCCATCGATCGATTAACTCAACAATTGGCATCAGAGCTTGACTCATTTGAAGGTTTAACTGCCTCTTGAGTAGATCCGGGAAGAGTTAAATCGATAAAGATGGCGTCCACTTCCGGTTCATTCTCCATGGAAGAATCCAGACCAATTGACGTGCCACCACACTTCAATGGAACAAATTATCGTCTTTGGAAGAAGCTTATGATGATATTTATCCAATCATTTTATATGGAAGCTTGGATGATGATCGAGAAATGATATTCTTCTTCTACAAAGAAGGCAAAAAAGTGGAGTGATCAAGAACGAAAGAAAGCTCAACAAAATACAAAAGCTATGCACATGTTGTGTTGTACAATTGATCCTAATGTATATAAAGGAGTTTCTTCTTGTTCAAATGCCAAGGAGATGTGGGATAAGCTTGAGGAGATCTATGGAGACAAGGAAGAAGAAGAACCAATAAAGGTGATGTCTCTATTAGCTCTTACAGAGCCAAAGGTATCTTCTAACTCAAATAGATTAAATTCAAAATCTTTTAATGAGTTACAATATGCTTATGATGAATTATTTTCGGAGTTTGAGACCATGAACTCCAAATACAATAAATTGATTTCTAAATTTATTGCTAAAAATGATATTCTTTTGAAAGCTAAAACGGACTTGGAAAATCAAAATGAAATGTTGAGAAATGAGTTAGAGCTTTCAAAAATAAAATCTGAAAACTTTGAAAAAGAAATTTTCAAATTAAACAAACTTCTTCTAGAAACGAAAATGAATTTTGAAAATCAAAATGAAATCTTGAAGAAGGATTTAGAGCTTTCAAAAATGAAATTTGAAAGTATTGAAAAAGAAAATTTCGATTTGAAAGTTAAGCTTGAATGTTTAACAAAAGAAAAAGATATCATTTTAAATAATTCATCTAGTTCAATAATGACAATATGTTCACATTGACATTATCATGGTCATAAGGAACATACTTGTCCTTTAAAGAAAGGAAAACGATTTAAAATTAGACAAGTATGGGTTCCAAAAGGAACAAGAGGCATTGAAACTAATGTTCAAGGATCCAAAGCAATTTGGATACCAAAATCTACTTAAATGTCTCTTGTAGGTGTGTGGGAGCAATGGTGATGAAGATGATGATATTCAAGATGCTCTAGCCACACATGAAAAAGGAATGGGTAACCTCTAAACTTAATGTTTTTTTATTTTATTTGGTTGCTCATTTAGTTTATGCATGCATGAGGTTTTAAATTTTAAATAATTCTAAAT